TTTTAGCGCTTATGTATTTAAAATGACTATTCATTTGGTATATTAATTTTTTTACTAAATATAACAAGTATCTGTTTATAACTAATTATATTAGTTCGAAATTAGTCCTGAATTTTATAAATATAATCACAACAGTCGTATCTGGTTGGTATTAACAAAATTTGAAAAAAAAAAAAATTGTATTTATCGAACACGATATCTACGTGGAAGTTTCCTATGATATTGAAGGTATCCGAATACTTTCGTGTGCTATTGTACATCGTTCGTTTGATCATGGTTTATGTACAATTTGCTGTTTACGTTCCCGCGTTCCCAATGCTTTTATCAGGGAAATACAGAAACAAATTTTTCAACCGTTTTAAGTTACTTTTCTGCTCGAGTTTAATTGGAAAAATAAATTTGCCTTTCTTTAAACTTCGCGTTTTGTTTCCCCGTTTTCACCAGTTTATTCGGATTTTTCGTTAATTAAAGGTAACCGCTACTACGCTCCAATCTATATTATTCGGAAACATACTCTTTGCACCAGGACCCTGTTTTACAAAATAATTTACCAATTGATGCAAGTGACGTTAATAAATGGACAACTTACAATTTGTAAACTTCGTATCGCGGTTTTGTCATTCTCCGTTTAATAGGATAATCAGATAATTTATAATTTGTAAGATTTACTTGTAAAATATCGTTTGTTTCGTAACTTGTATTTCGTGATTTGTAAAACTTCGGTAATTATGTTTAGGTAATTGTATTTATAAACAATTCTGTATGTAGAGAAGATATGGGATTGCGCGTGTTTAAAATCGGCAGCACACGGTTAAAAATAAATATAGAAATTCTAACTAGAATGGGAAAGTGAAATTACGGTAATTTGTGACATTTAGTGAACACGAAGAAATAAACGACAGTCAGCTTGAAATAGATAAAGCTAAGAGGGTTAAAATACTCTAGATAAGAAAGTAATCAAAATGAAAATGCACAAACAGGATAAAATTTCATTCTATTCGTGTTATTTTTCTTCCCAAATTTGTACAAAGAAGATGGGAGAAGGAAAGTTTTGAAACTAAAGATTGACTCTAAATGAATGACTCTAAATGACTCTTTCCATGTATGATTCTTAGTTGTTTGTAATTTATTTCCGTAACTTATGACGATAATTATAAATAATTACAACCTATATACCGTTAATAAATATTAGAATTTTATAACACGTGCCGAAAGAACAAATTCAAAAATCTAACTTCTATTTTTTACTGCACTCGTGTTAGTCGATTGAATATTAATTTTAAATATGAGATTACCATGTGTTTAAACTTAAACTATCAAAAATTGTTCTTTGTGCTTTAGTCCTTTTCCTTAGTTCTGTTTTTCTCGTAACTGAAGAGGACGCTGCAACAAAGAAGCTTCATTCTCCAGTAATTTGCATGAACCAACGAAATCGACCAAAATCAAACGACTTTCCCAAATGTGTTGTAAATTCGTAGTCAAATAATATTCGTAGTAAGAAACTTTTGCATATCTCCATACTACTCCTTTGTCTTCGATTATAATTATGTATTTGTATACGACTACCACGTACTCTTACTCAATATATAACTTCGCAAATAAGTAATTTCACAATCTACTTCATGGAAGTTCTAAAGGGAAAATATGAAAGAAAAAATAACAGAGAATTTAAAATTCCTAACTGTCTATTCCAAAATACGGATTTAGAGAAAACAAATGTAAGTCTACAGTTCCCCAATCTGAGCTACTCACATACCTATATATAGTAGCTAGTCCCGTTTTATGGAACCACGTGTTCGTTTGTATACCTCTGCGAAGCACGAGTGACAAAACGCATTTACGAGAAAGGTCAGTAAAGGCTGAACCTGAAAAAAGAAAGTTTCAGAAATCTGACCTGCGAGACGCGACCGCGTGTGCCACGAAGAGGCAAGCTATGTACATATATATAAAAAAATTCAGTACACGAGACACCGTTTACTTATTGTAGAATTATAAATTCGATTAATCAATAAAACGCGTGAAAAGTAACAGAAAATGCTAACATTATAAATACTCGAACAAATATAATTTTCCTAATTCTTCTCATAAGCTGTAGATTATCAGTTTTTGTTTATAAAAGGTGTTCGTTTCGACTGCAGTGTCTCTCTCTCTCTTTCTGTTTTTCCATACTGTCATCGATAGTGTAAACAAAACTAATCTATAGAAAAAATACATTCCGAAGATTTGCATTAGTATCAATACGCGGAATTCTCAATATTGTTGAATATTTTATAATACTATACGGCGCGTAAATAAGTACTTACATACATATGTACAGATACCGAACTTATAGGTTAGGAAACTAAATATCTCTGCGACGATTGGTCTTTAGATACGTGCTTATTATACATATCCATTGAGACTCTTCGATTAGTTTTCTTTTATTTTATTTCTATTCGCTAGTCGATTGTTTACTTCCACTATGCCAAACATTCTATATATAGTGACTCAGGAAAGTATTTAAACATTTACAGAAACACTTTATCAATATATTATGTGCATTATACAAAACATTTTGAAATTTCATTACTACCGCATCGAGATAGTACTGGTTATATTGGTAATGTTCGAAATAAATCTGAAAATGTATATACATTGTACATAGAAGCTGCAAAATATTTAATGCAAGATATCTTTTTCACGGAGATCACGGAAATCAATTATTCATTATATTAATGAGGTTCAATACTTAAAGGTACTATTTTAAAGACTTACTATATGTTTGCAGTAAATATCTTCTAACTTCTATATATATTTTCGAATCGGTTCCAAGTTTTATAATACCAATATAGTCGTGGCAGTTGCGCCTCGTTATGATGTTAATTTTTAAATTTTTCATAATGTCAGATTTTAAAATAAATAATATAAATAAAATAAAACATATATAAACAAAACAATATCTACATAAAAACTTTCTATGGCAAATTTACGAAAACTTTTGTGAACCATTATATTATATCGCGAGCTCTTCAGAAAGTAAAGTGATGTTACAAACCCCGTTCTTTGAATTTTCTATTATTTATGTCATCTTGAATTTATGAAAGTAAGTCATTTGTTTCCTGAAAATATTCATCATATACTTATGTAATGAAGTTAAGAAATTAATAAAAACGAAAACTGAACAGTTTAGTTTCTGAAAACCTTATATAAATTTTTCTATAGCATGGAATCCCATGAAAGAATCCTGCGAACTTTTAACTCAAAGGACACCTCCTGGAGATTAACGAAACTAAACAGCTTACAAGTTAGGTGTAACAGAATTACACGAACACGCAACGTCGCTAAACGATAAAGTCACCTAACCTATCTAACAGTGGATGCATTCGAAACATCGTACAAAAAGCGTTCTTCTTCGATAAAAATTCGCCGCTACCGATAATGCGACCGATCGTTAAATCATACCGACAGAAAAATACGCGACACGACGTAGAATGTCGGTAAACGCATGGAAAAATGCGAAAGAAATCGATGGTCGATACATCGAGGCGTCGTTCGCTCGAAGATTATAATAGTACGTATTTCTCCGCGAAGAAAGCAATGACCGATTTCACCGAGATAGCGGAGAACGACTGTTTTCGCTAGATACTGTGCTCCGATCGATCTTCCGTGTTTGTGTGTTTACCTAGAAGTTTCAAGCGAAAGAAATTTCGTACAAACTTTTATCGTTATCAAGAACAGGACAAGAAACTTGCATATGTATGTCTTACGTGCATATTTTGAGTAATATATATATGAAAATCGAATCGAATCGAATCGAATCGAACACAGTGATCTTACTTTTCGATTTTTATCGTAATACATATATCGACTGATCGAGATTCGATTTTATGGTTTCCCGATTAGCAGAGGTTTCATTATGTGATACATTAAAAATGGTACCTACTGTTGTTGTTATCTAAATAATACCTGCGGATTTTCCAATTCTTTTTTAATTACACAATTGCGATTTTAAAATACACAAGTTGTTCTTTGATCCATGTACTGACAACTATTATCGCATTTCATTATTCAACTTCTATTCCGAATAAGTCGAACTTCTATATGAACAGTTAATTGCTATTATACATTTTGCAACTAATTTCTATTATAATGTATTATTGCCACTATTTTTAAAAAAATAATTTAACTTAACAAATATGTCTCATACTGAAAATATTGTCTTTATTTTTACCGGCGAATGGTTCCTGTCGAACAATTAAAAATAAACTGTACGTGAAAAATGATATACGTCACACTATACGATTAGCTTATGTGACGGTGTTCTGTGTATCACTAGAAGACATCCCATTCAAAATTCATAAGCAAATACCGTTTTTGTAACTCCTTCAAAACTCTCGATTTATACGAGCCACCCGATTTTCATTATTCTAAGCAATAAATATTTTATAATATCTAATATACTATTATATATCAGTTTTTATACGCCTAAGATTACATCTTAGAAGTTATATTTCGAATTTAGATACCATTGACAACATTAATGTTAAAAATAAGCTAATAAATATTTACATGTACAATTATCATAAAATTTTATCACATTTTGATTTCAATTATTTCTAAACGCCTTAAAATTCTATAATATTCCATATAATCCCTCTGTAATTTTCTATAACATTCTATATCTATAATAGAATATGTTGAATTTTCATTAACGACGGTTTACCATAAAATGGCGCGAAAACGAAATATCATATAACCTACACCTTGAGATTAGATATGTATTTTGTGAAGCAAGAAATTCATAAAAAAACCCGCCAAAAATTTAAATCCCATCAGCACGCAATAATCTTACATAGTTTCTCGAAGCATCAAGTTAGTTTCGATAGAAACTTCGACTGAACTTTTCCGAAGTGTAGAATTTTAAATCATAAACGCAATTTCGTGGTTGAAAGCACGACAAAACGGAAACAAGTACAACCGCGTTGAACTCGTCGTGGTGAAAGTTTCGTAACAATACTTACCTGCGATTAAGCAGAACTCCACTGTGACGACTATACGAACGCTCCGTAAAGACAGGTTCTGGTCATCCTGGAGAGATGTCTCCAAGAAAAAAACGTATCCGTTCAAAAAATCATGCTTCTTCAAAAACACCAAGTCGTAATAACGGAGCCGTCGGAAGTCGTTACTCCTGTTATGATTCTTATTCCGATTCGAACACACCACCGTAATTCACTCGTTTGTTCACTATTCACTGCGCGACATCGAGTTTCACTTATAGATACGCAACAAGCAAAACAACAAAATCAGTAAACAAAGTTCGTATAACTTCCGCACATTCACTCCAAAACAAAGAACATGGCTCTCGCGATCTCTCTCGAACACCCGAAATCGTTGGAAACAGCCAATAACAAGAATGTCCGTTTTCACGTATCAAATATCTCTTAATCGATCCGCAACGATAAAAACTTAATACGTTCGAAAACCGAACCGAGCGAGATGAAGTAATAAACATAGGACAAATCAGGTAAATATTTATGGAGATGGATCTTCGTTTGGCATTGTCGTCCTTCTGTCGAAAGAAGGTATTGAGATTACGAACCACGAAAAGCTACATTTTCAACGAATATCTCGAAATATTTAGCGAATAAGAATTCTTACAGTTCTTTGAAATTCCTCAGTTCGTATCGAAGCAAGGTACTCATTTCGGCACTATTAACGTTTTCTCGAACCTCGCTTGCATAAAGACCGCGAAGATATCGATAAGAACATGGACAATTCGATACAGACATTCGATTGGTAAATTCGACTTGGAGAAGAGTCGCAACTCGCAACACAACGATAATCGAAACGGAATCCGGTGACTTATACGCTTCGGTTATATTCCCTTTAATGCGGGCGCCGGCCGGCTTAAAGCTGTGCAACCTAACAAACCTAGCGGCTCTCCTTGCATTCGATCGGTAGCTCGAGAATTTTTTAAACACACGCAACGATCCACTTGATACCCGATCAACGTACGAATCGCTTTTTCCAAACGTTCAACAAGCTTGCATTTTTATTAAACGAAGTTTTGTCGTCACGTTCACAGGTTTGTTCGGTCACGCACTGAGAAAATTTACATTGCTTGATATTTCCGTATAAGTGGAATGACGTATAACTCGTTTCAAAATATCACGTATACATGTGTCAAGATTCAATCGACGGACAAGTAATCTCCTTCGTTTCCGGTAAAAGGAGATCTACCCGTAACGCGGCGCATTATAACGTACTCACCATCGAGCGGTTGAATTGTGACTGCAGCTAGCTGGGTTCGATGCCGTCTCCCCCACTACCATGCTTAACAGCTAACTGGCGAAACGCCTAGAAGGGTAGTGGACGTTTCGAAGGTTACGCCCATTGCCACGCCCTCCGCTCTGTTCACACCTCCTTTGGTCGCACCTCTTTTTTTCGGGACTTTACAAGGACTCCCTTAGTCCCCTAAAGTGCGTTCGGACAACTTGAATATTCTCGCGCGCTTTTTTTGAAGTAGGTACAACCTGATCAAAGAAAATTATATGCAATATTACGTTGAGTATTTAAGAGAACAACTGTAAATGAAATAAGAATGAACAAGGTAAATTAAAATTGCAAAAATATGTGAAATATTTGAACAAATAAATGTAACTTGAATTACGATGGAATATAATTTACGAAATGAAAAATACCTAAATGTTCGAATGAATAATCTTTTATCAACTTTAAATGTGAATGCAGCAAACAAATATGTACAGATAAATTCTGTCTGCGATAAACACGTATGCTATATGTTCGAACGCTCTTTTTGATTTCTCCTTGACGTTGTATTTCTCAGATTAAAGGATGTGAATTGAACGCTTGTTTATATACGAATTTGGATTAAACGTATCGAAATATAGGAATGATCAAAATATTATCGTGCTTCGTAATATTAAACATGGAAAGTTAATACTTTAGAAAATTGTATGATTCTTTTTCCTTGGAAAATTACAATATGCCTCTCGTATATCAGGAAATAATGCGATGAAAGCAATAAAATAAGGAATTTAATATATAATATAACTGAGTATATAATTAGGTATGTGTCAACTAAATATTGGTAACTTTCTTTCACAACGTAACCTATAACTAGGACAATTTAAGCATTTAGATATGCATACAATTTTTAAGTTGTATTGGCAAAATCATATTATTCATCGTTTTAATTGTTAACTGAAGACTCGTTAAAAAATTATAGATGCAATAATGCTACTTAATATGATTGATATGTATTTCATTTTTAATTTTCAGTCGTTTCTTGAATGATTAAAAAAACATTCTTATTCTCAATTGTTTTAATCAATAGGACTTTATATCTATACCTAAGCATTATTACTAGATAAAATAATTATTTGTTAATGATAAGACTTGAAAATCGCTATACTTAAACTTAAGTACATAAATACATACTTACAGTTTCAAGAAATTATGATAAGTTGTTTGTTTCAAAGATAAAATGTATTTTTTGTTATGAAGTAAGTAATCTATAAATTAAATTATTACCCAAGTATGGATAATTTTATTTTTACGATATTAATATAAAATAATTCTCGTGGTAAGATAAAAATTGAACCATTGGAAGTAAAATATCTATATGCTTCGCTATTTATTAGATATCTCTAGGTTGTAGAGCATAATCTTCTGAGTGTTAGTAAGTTTTCTGCCAAACAAATATTATAGAACTTTTTATAAATAACGTATGGTATCTCGGTATCTAGATAACGCATGATTGATTGAACGAATGAAATGTCTATGATAAGGTTGAGTAAAGACTTACCAGTATAAACCGATTTGAAATACTTTCTTTCACGCAAATACCTGAAATACCCGTACAAAGATTATTATTACATTACTTTCCTAAAATTTAGTTCTAAAATATCTTGTTAAAATATACAGCACGAGAAGTATTCCCTAGTAATTATTAACTACGCTTATTTCATTATGATTAGATATTCTAGCGAACTTCTATTACGACATAAGAAAATCCGAAATTATAACTTGAGGAGTATTAAAAATCATATATTAATCAATATACACTACGATTGCTACTGTGGTACGTATTATGTAAATATGTACGTAGAGTTATCAACGTAACAACAATAAATAATACAATTTGATCACGTGGTTTCGTACAATTAATTTTATAACAACAAATGGAAATTAGATGGTAGACGTATTGTAATAGTATATTTTATAGTGCAACGCTAATATTGTATATACATTTGCAATACCTATACCTACTTTTTACGTTTTATACATGGTATAATGTACTCGGGGGTGAGGTTAGGGTTAGGTATCCATATGTACATACTATATTATAAACCTAGGTATGAACCTATATCTATGCACTTAACAATGTTACAATTTTATACTAAAATATGATACGTATTACCTACATATGTATGTATCAAAATATTAAAGATATTAACATGCATGTCTGTTACTAAATATGTATACATACATATGGGTGGTTGGTAACTGGTGGTACAAGCGGAAAGGGGATGATTCTACGCGAAAAAAGAACTCGAAATATAGAATAAAAATTTCTTTTTTATTTTTTTTTAATTTTTCCATCGAGACAACGATCTACAGTGAGATCCGTTATAACGTACCGCACGCGTACCGAGCGAAAATTCAAAGTCGATTTTCTCGAAAACAAAGCCTCGAACGAAAAATTTTTATTCTATATTTTCGACTTCTTTTTTCGCGTAGAATCGCCTCCTTTCCGCTTGTACCACCAGTTACCAACCACCCTGCATATGTACAACTACCTACATACGTGGTAAGTAGTGGTAAATATTGTATTGCAATAGTATTTCAGTTGTTACGATGGTGTCCACTTTGTTTGCAATAAATATATCGCAACAAATAAACGTCTTTCAAAAATTATATAACTGGCATATATAATAATACTCTACGTATTTTACATTTTTTCATTAAATTTTTTAGATAATAATGAATATAAGAATATAAAAATATGGAAGTTGAAACAACCGTCGGTGTCATATGTCCAATACATATGTACAGAGTGAACGTTTCTATTAATCATCAAATGTTTATATGAATATTGTTCACAAATTTCTATTAAAACATAAGAAGTTCCAGAAGAAAAGTATTATTCTTATTATAATATCTAGAACTACAAATTAAAAGAAGAATAGAAATATCTGGAAGTACAGATTTTAATTACAAGAACCTAGTACTTGAGTTCTAAAAACATCTATGTATGTATTTATTTCTTTATGGTAGTATCTGTTGCATTAAATTTAAGATCTAATCTTTATTATAAAATATGTAATAGGTACTAAATGCATTGGAAGTAACAAAAACGCTAGTTGTACAAATGCAATAAAACTATATGAAACTTAATGTGATCTTTAATTTAATATGCAATAGTTCCTCAAATATATGTAACCCTGATAAGACAAACGCCATAATAATAGAATCATACTCATAATTAAACCTCAATCCTACATATATATTTCCATAACGTATTATAATATATACTATACTTTTTTATTTGTAACATTCTTTCCTCTTGCAGAATATCCTGTATTTTTCCAAGAATCAATTCGCGTATACAACAAAGATCTCCACCTCTGTCGTTTATTACTCATCCAGACGAGATACATAACCGCATGCGTGACCATTCCCATACGTAGTCTCTCCAACTGCAAATAATGTCTAAAAATTCATGCAAATGAAAAAAGAAAAAGGGTAGGAATGATGAAAAATTCTGTATCAGAGATTGAATTTCATCCGAAATGGCCAGTTAAGAGAATAAAATGGTACGGAAGAACGGTCATCCGATTACCTGGAAGTGCGTGCGCGTCATCGTCAGCATGGCGCTTCCCCGTGCGTCCCCGTGGCGCCACGGCTGCCTTGAACTTCCGTCCTGCCCCACGAGCAACCCGAACCCCCCACCCCCCTGCATCGTTACACCAGAGAAGCGAATGGTGCCGTTTTATGCGGTTTTTGCTGACAGTGATGCGGTACCACCCGGTACAAGTTAGTTCTGGATGCCGCTCCGCCTACCGACACCATCGCAGTCACACGTAGTACCTATGTTGCGCATGCGCAGCATACAGGGCTATATGACGCGTGTTCGAATTACCCTCCGCCATCTTTCCACCAGCCGGAATCAGTGATACAACTCAACGTGACTCCTCTCTCCATCTTTGTCTACCATACACGCTGTAAGTACACGATGCCTTGCCTGCGCGGCTTTCTAGCTTTCTCACTCTGTCTCTCTCACACACACACACACACTCTCATTCTCACTCACTCACTCACTTTCTCCCTCTCTCTCTCTCTCTTTCTTTCTCTAATACATTCTATCTTCATCTCTATCTAGCTGTCGCTCCTTGATACTATCTTCTTCTCTCTCACTCGATACCTTTCTATCTCGCCCTTTCTCGCACTTGTTTGATTCTCCTGGAGCAGATATTGCCGCGTCTACTGCTGTCGCAGTGCACCGTGGGAAATACGCTATCAGAGAAGCTACCAAAATGGCGGCTCACTAACTTCTGCGCCTATAGAGATTTATACTGAATCTTTATTTTACTAAAATAACACTCGCTACTTTATATAAACTGTAACTTGGCTATATTTAACTTGGCAATGCTTTACATACGTAGACAACTTTATTCAACCAATAGACGCGCATACTAGTTATGTGATTAAAAAATTAGTGCTAATATTGCAACTTTGTACGAATTCCAAAATTAATCGTATGCGGCGTGCTAGATATTAACTTGTTTATTATGTTGTATAATTTGGAAAACCGAAACTCATTGGTTTTGCAGATATCGATATTTGTTTCCTTTTTTTACACAATGAGGAGAAAATGCATAACGAAGCATAAGTTTTTACTGGATATAAAGACAAAATAATTAAAAGCTCTATATACTCTGTAATTTAGGAGTTTGCTAAGATATTTTATTGTATTTACATATCGACAACACAATAGGTAAACAGAAAATACTTCTCTTACGAAATAATGTTTCAGTTACGCAATTATTTAATTTAAATTATTAAAAATATTGATAATTACAGAAACAAAATTATGGGTTAAATATCTTTTATGAATTGTATATTATATTAATTGTATATTATAAGAGTTATTTCTTATCAAAACAATTTTGCAATAAAAACATTAGTTTAGTTAACATAATAGTTACCTATTAAAATCTATAGTTGCGTTAAAGTTTTTCCTGTATGATAATATTTTATATTGTCATTTCATAAGATCGCTTTTCCAGTGTACTTTTTACAACAAAATTTCAATCACACCTGTTAAATTATGAAAATCGAAAATATATCATCTTTCCGTTCTACTACCTGTTCCCATCATTTTGGTAAAGATATTTTATGCCTTCGCTATAAAACATTTGTGATTTTTCATTGAAATATTTTTTGATACAATCATTTATAAATTTTTATAAAATACTATTTGATTTTCATCTTTTAATCTCAATAAGTACCGTCAAATTTTTTGCCAGCTAGAAAATATTACAGCGAAGAAATAAATAGTAATTTGGGAATTCAATATATAGAGAATATGGAATATATGATAAAACTACCCAATTAAATATTCACGTAACTCTTTTGTACATTTTGTGCCACACATGCTCTAGTATCGCAATGATATAGAAATGGTGAGAATTATTCCAAAAAATATTTTAGTGTAGAGTCACAAGTTTCAGAAGACTAGTTGTAGAATGAGAATGTGACTACATATTTTCATAGCATCTACAGGTATGTGTCAAATTCCGGTCCAAATACCATAGTAAAAACCGAAACGAATGTATGGGATGACTTAATATATAAAATAATTATACCTTCTGTTTTAGTGATTGATCCTAATTATATTTTGATCATCTAATTCCTATTATCAGTTATTACTTTTAGAACAGAATGTGTGTAAGTACACACATAATGAATGTTCGAATAAGATCGTATTAAAAATTAAAATTTGAGCAATATAATTTTATTGTATACGCTACGGTAAAATATAATTATTATAAAAATGTAAAAGAATGTATACTTCTAGACGTATAAAAATAATTACAAACTTTCATAAAATTATATACAAAACCACAAAAAAAAATTTTTTTTTGCTGAATATAAAACATCTGGAATTGAACTGGGACTTTCGTAATTTGGACTTTATAGTTCACTCAACTTAGCTTCTTCGATGATAGGATATATATATAGTCTCATTTCAATGTATTGAAAACATGCATATGTACAATCTAAAATGTCACCAAAATTGTATTTCGATATTTATGTATTAATGTTAAAGATATAGCTTCTTAAAATTGTAAGTTATTTATATTTATTTATTTATTTATTATTGTTTAGTCCGTACCTTTCGACTTTGGACGAACTTTCGGTTTTACATCTCTTATACCTATTTCGCTTCTTACCTCCCCACTTATCCACTCTATTATATTGAGTACTATATTAAGTAGTACAAAAATTTGTTACTGGAGAATGAAATGTCATTAATTGATTAAGAAGAACACAAAATTCGAAGCAAAAGTTTAGTGTAACATCAGCAAAGTCTTGCTTCTTGAAACTTGTTAGGTTAAATTTATCTAATTATTAGTCATCTATCAATTATTAATATATCTAGATTCTTAAATAGAAATAGCCTTTATACGTGGCCCGTTACTACAGGTAAAATATAATAAAACGAAAGAAACTTTTGGGACAACCAAATATAATGCATAGCAATTAAATATATTTTGCAATAAATTTGATAGATACTAATAGAGAAATAGAAACATATTATATATATTAAAAATCTTATTATAGCAAAAAACAATATGCAACGTGCTATGTTACAAATAAATGGCATACCAACTCAAGTAATTACAGAAGGTCGTTGGGTAGAAGAAGGTCTTGCAGAGTATGGTAAGAAAGACATAGTACTTGTTATTACGGGTAACCCTGGCATTGCAGAATTTTATGAGGGATTTATAAAAACTATAAAATCAAGACTTCCTAGTGAAGTACCTGTTTGGGTGGTTGGAAATGCTGGTCATGTACAACCACCGAACAATTTAGCAATTACTATGCCAAGTAATTCAACTTGGAACGAACATTATAGTTTAATGGCACAATTAGAGCACAAGGTATTTTTATTTACTAAATTTTATTGCTTTGCGGAAGAAACTTTAAATCGTCATAATTTAATTACAGAAAGACTTCATAAAAAAATATGTACCAGACGATGCAAGACTGCATCTTATTGGGCATTCAATAGGGAGTTGGATGATATTAAATATACTAAAAGATGATATCATTGCTAAAAAAATAACCAAATGTTATCTATTATTTCCAACCATAGAACATTTAGCCACAACCACTAATGGATGGATATTCACTAAAATTGTAAGTTCTTTCGTTATCAAAATATTATTTTACATAGTAGCATATAGAATGTCAATTAAAAACTAACTTTTTTCAGATATTGCGCATTGCATCCTTTCTCGTTCTTATTGCTTGGACTTTTCAATTTCTTCCACATGTTTTAAAAATCTTTTTTATCAGTATGATAGCACTGTTAAAAGGAGTTCCTTCAAAATACAATAACGCGTTACTTCAATTGGTAAATCCTCATGTCATAGAAAGGATAATTAAAATGGCAAAGGAAGAAATGGAAATAATAAAAGAACGAGATGACGACATAATTTCAAAATATGCAGATAAATTATGGTTGTATTATGGCAACTGTGATGGTTGGACACCAGTTAAATATTATGAAGATTTGAAATCTAAGCATTCTGATCTCAATGCAGAACTATGTAAGCATGGTTATGATCATTCCTTTGTTTTGCAGTATGACAAAGAAATGGGAAAGCTTGTTGCCGATGTAATTAATGATAACATATTGTAATCTTAAAAAAGAAAAACGATAATTAATCTTTTTGTCATACTTTTGAAACATATATTTAGTTGACAATTGATGATTCATAATATTTTAAAGCTTTTATTAATATTTCAATAGTTAAATAATTGTTTAATGCTACTAAAAACTTCTCACAGAAAAAACATTGGTATAATATGTTTCCATTCAGCCTTATTAAAATCATAACTCTGTGATTTGAAATCCAAATTTTAAATGTTTTTACATGAAAAACATTTCATGCTTAATGTTACTAAGTGTTTTATCATGTACTAGCTTATTAGTAATAACTTGTGAGAGATATTGTATTATATGTAAATATATTGACATTATACTAGATTATCAATTAAATTTGGCTCCTTTATGAATTTCAAAATTGATCGTGGATTTTTCCATTTATGAAGTTATCTTCAAGAATTTTGGTTTTATCACAAAATCTATTATGCTTTGAGCAGTTTAGGAAAGGATTATTAGCAATACGCCTATTAAATTATTGAATTATATTCAATTTATTTGTTATGTAACAGAAATTGAAACGAAGATGTTAATAATACACAAAAATATATGTGTATCTTTTAATTTACTTTTATTGTCATTTATTATATCTAAATTGCGCGTGTGTATGGCGCGTGTGTTGGTGAATACAATTCAAAATAAAATACTAATATTTTAAAATTTTGCATGTTTGTGTGATTTCAAAATCACAAAATTAATACGTTCTATACTGAAACAATTAAGCATTATTTACTTTATATGTTAAGAAGTAAATATGTTATTATACGGTATTACATATGTTTTATTTAAATAAAAATGGTCTTTTTATAAGATGTACGAAGATTTTTCTGGATGATTGTAAGTTAGTGTAAAGCTATATATATAATAAAAAGGATTAATATATATGTAAAATAAGAAATGTACTTCGTTTAACTTACAAAATTAAATCATAATCTAAATTCAAATATAACTTAATATACACATAATGTTAATATAATTTAATATTCAAACAAGTACTTTATAACTAGTAACAAATCAAAGTTACCGCTTAAAGTGTGATTAAATGGTCGGCTTTCTTCGGCAATATTCGACTGACGCAAGGGATGAAGCTGACATCTTTTGAGTCATACCAACATTCGACACTATATTTAACAGTCTGCAACTTGCAGCATTCCGTTACATAGTAGGGAGAAGAGTTTATACATTACGTTTGTTTATTAATTGTATAGTTAACAGGTACCTCAATCTCAGTGTATTATTTTTAGGGTTAATCTTGTTGAAGCCATAATTCTGTGATTTGAAATTCAAGTTACTTAAAATGTCGCGTGTTACTACTTTATTGCTGCTTATTTGCATCAACGCGGGGTTATCTTATGGTAAGTGTGAGACTTCGGAGTACTGAATTTGTTCTTCTAGTAACAGGATGGTATCAACATAAAAGTAATCTGGTAAAATTAGATAACGTACGACAATAACTGATTCATTATGATTATTAACTATTAGAAATCCAGAGTATTGCACTCAAATTTGGTGTAATCCATCTGAAATCTAGATTAGATAATAATGGATATCGTCAGCAAATACATTTTTTATACTTACAACCTTTCGTAGCTGTTTTCGGAGAAAGAAATACATTATTGATTTTAAAAGATTTATATTCAATATGTAACAGCATAGATTAGTGTATAGATCTATGTATCATCTATAAATTGTAAGCATCAAATATTATAAGAAATGAAAAATTTTTCTGTATTATATGTTGTATAAAAATATTAATATTATTCATTTTACGTTTTTATGACTATTATTTGAATGGTTTTTCTTCATATATTTTGACAAATATTTCAATTCTTTCTTCGATTATATAGTATTAAATAATTAGCAAACCTAATTACATTTTATTATTTCTCAATTATTTATTTTATGTAGTTTTATGTAAGATCAACATTCGTACATTAATACATATGCAGTTACCTCTGTGAATAATTAACCATATCATTCAACATCTCTGTTTGTTATTATAATGATATTCAAAGAGGAAAAAATAGTCATATAAAAATATAAAAAATTTAGAATTTTGTGGGTAACTTAAGATTCTCTGATGGACGCTCATAAAAATTGATTAGGCTGTAATCTATTATAAGTAAACATTTTTTAACTACTTTCGATTTTAGAATAAGAAGTATCATTGTTTAAAAATATAGCTTACATTGCTATTAACTAATCAACATTAGTAAGTTATCTTTTCATTAATGCCATCTTAATAAACATTGTTTGTATATATTTTAATTTTATAACCAAAATAAGTGGGTTTGTATTAAAATTACGTAAAATTGTATTGTTAAAACAATTTGAAAGAATTGCATAAGTACGTAATATATCGACAAACTTAATAAAAAATAAGTTTATAGCTTTTTTTAATGATTTTAATAATCTAATGGTTATTGCTAGAATATTGCAGCAATCTTTTTTCTTTCAATTTTCTTTTAATTCGATAAATAATTTGAAAATCAATTTATAATTTTACAATTTATAATAACAGCGATCACGATCATCGATTTGTATGAAGCATACACTCGAATTATAGTTTCATATTTTTTACTTAGTCGACATCATCCTTTATCTTCTCATTTTAATTTGAAAGTTTGGTTTATCTGAATCGTTGAAATATAAGACCGGAAGCTGACGCTATCAACGACAGCTTTTTCATTTATCTACATATTGTATGTATATATAAAATGAAGTTATTAAATTGACTATAATTAATTTAATCAACTGAAATTTTTATCATGTAATTACTTATAATTTCTGTGATTATAAATAAGGAATAGATGTATAATTCTTTAATTATATGATGAATTAATAACAATATATATATATATTAAATGAAAGTATTTATAGGAATTAGGAATGTTTTCTATTTAACTAAAATTAAACATAGAATACACAAATAATGATATTAAAAACTACGTCGAGTATGTAAATAATGCATACAGTAGAGTATTTAAAATGGCATATATGTAATTATCTTAAACAATATTTAGCATAAAAAGAACGTTCCAACAAAAAATATAATAATTAATATTTTCTCATAATTTTTCAATATCATTTAATTACGTTTTTTTGTATAAATTCTAGCATACTCGATAATATTTTAGTTATTATTTATTCATACATTATATACGTATATAAAATATATACATATATACGTGTGTATGTATATTTATTAATGTCCCCAAACGAAATTAATTGTTTTAGGAATGGAGTGCACGTTCGGGAACAAAAACTTCATATCACGAGCAATCAATTCATGCCCAGGATTGCTTGATCCTAAGGAAAAATCTTATTGTTGCTATGATATTTCTAGTGAAAAAATTTATTGCTGTGATGCTATGGAATTTGGTTTTCAATCGTCATGGTAAAATAATTTACATTAATATTTTTGTTTATGTAGTCTTTTTGGAATTTTGTTTATGTTTTTGTTATGTGTTGTTTGTGCATAAAATCGCCAATTAATTAATGCTGCATTTAAATAGCAACATCTAAATATCCCTTACTAATGATAGTATGAAAAAACTCGGGAAGTCAAAAATATACTGTTTAGTCGGACACATGTAATGGTAATGGTGACATTTTTAAATGAAATTTCAAGGTTATTGTTTTTTTTAATGGAACCATATATTTAAAAATAAATATATTAATATTATTAACAAATAATAAAAATATTAATCTGTTTGCCGAAAAACAATTACTTCTACAAATATCTTGACTTTAATTTTGTTAAATTGAGTGTATGAAAGACCAGGGAAAATGCGAAACAATATTCTTGTGTTTATGTTGTCTGAGGAGTTTTCTCACACAACAATAGATATAAATAAGACAGATATTTAAATGATCCCATTTAGTTGAGTTACATACCATACAATGTAAAGCGCAGAGGAAATATAGTTCATTCTGATAACTTGAAATTGAACTGATATTTTAATAATGATATTGATGACGGCACACATTATTCTGACCGCCTATTCAACTTTTACTTCCACTTATAAATATGATAGCCGCTTGAAAAAAAATTTATCATTTATTCAATAGCAGCGAGGTAAGCTAAAACGAACGAATTGGTTCTGCAACCATATTCGTTGAAATATATATTGAAAAATATGTACTTAGGAGTGATTCATCTCAGGCTCACAGTTAAGAGCAAAGTTATCATTAGTACAACAGTTTAAACAACGGAAAAATATAACATAAATTAAAAAATAAGTGATAAAAATAATATGAAATTTATTTATTTATTAGAAATTGATGAGACAATCATGTTGACCAGCTTTCCTTTACCTACGTTATCTTTCCAAAAACAGATCTCGTCCGTTGACTATGACATACGATACTCGTTCATCTTACACCACGTTAGTTTATAATATTGCTTATACTGTTCAGTTATCTTCTATGCGATAGATATTACTAAACGAGAGAAAGGAAAGTTTAAACAGATTCGCATCGTCAATATCATGGTCTTTACCATCGTAACGAAGGCGGGATGAAAAAGTCGGTGAAGCGAATTACATTGAGCAGATATTTCTTCGCATTCGTTGTAACATCTTTGTATGCTATGCTATAGCAGTCTGATATTAGTTATAACAATTGTTCATTGTAGCATTCGTTCATTATAGCACATCTTACTATAGCATGTAATACATACATATATGCATACATGTATGCTTTAACATAGCTAAGTTCAGTTCATTTCTTATCTTTCTGTATATTTACAAATTAAAACGTGAGACGTATAAACGCATTCCAGACAAACGCATATATATATACAATATAATCATATCGGTATATGAACTTCACCCAGACTTAACTCAAACTTAATCCACTATAGTAAATTTGTTACTAAAGCAAAAATATCAAAAATATCTTCAGGTTTATAACTACCTATTCTATTACTATTATTACTATTACCTATCTTTGGATCCCTCATTCCTGTCCCCTCGTGTCCCCCCC